AAGGTTCTAATAAGAGAAACTCAATTGCACAATTTCTAAAAGGATTACACCGGTGTTAGAATGAGTAAGACTGGTGTTATATAAACCATGGATCAATAGAATAGTGAAGATAACATAGGTAACAATGGTGTTAAGGCTTCCAGTACTAGGGTTATCAACACTTAGAAATGTTTTTGAACAAGACAACTTCAAACACAAAGATTATAGTTAAGTCAAATACTTAACTATCAAAATGGCATACCTTCTGTTGCATATAAGCTCTTACTTAGTCAGATTCAACGTAAAGCCAATTAACTTGGTCTTAGTTAAGAAAGCTTAAAATGTATAAAACTTTTCTTTATTTTGTTATCATTAAAATCAGAGTTTAACAAAGAACCCCCACCACCTGAAGAAATTCCTCATCCAAGCAAATATAATTTAAGCCATTCAAAGACTCCACATAATTCAACTTTAAGTACTATTCACGGAATCAAATTTCTTTATCAACCCTTTGGAATATAATCTTAACATGTTAACTTTCTTTATGTTAATGGCTAGTTATTTTAGTGGCAAGGCTATTTCCTTATAGCATGTTAAGACTATATCCATTAGGCCTGATAAGTTACTTATCCAGCCCAATAATTGACAAACCCACTAATCTCTTTGTAGATATTTTATGTCTAAACACATCGAGTTCGATGTCCATTACATCAGATATAGAGTATTAGATAAGAAACTTTTGGTTTGATATGTTCCATCTTCAAAGAACATCTTTGATACCTTCACCAAGGCTATGACCCATTCTTGTTTTCTTACACTCAAAGACAAACTCGACCTAGTGAAAGCCCCAACCTCTCATTTGATGGGGCATGTTAAGACTATCTTCATTGGGCTTGATAAGTTGCTTGTCCAGACCACTAATCTCTTTATAGATATTTTATGTCTAGTTTAGTAATTTATCTTTTGGTTATTTTTATTTGTTTGTACTATTATATCATTATTTTGTATTAGGATTTTTACCCAATCACTATACAAAGAAATAAGAGCCTAGGGTTTTGTGAGCCTTTGACCTAATTTTTTATTCCTGTGCAAAACTTTTCTTAGCATGAGATTCAAGATTTATATATTGTATAATCTATCATCCTTGGTTGAAGCTAAGAATTTGAAAACAAAAACTATACATTAAGAAAAGTTGTAAAGTTAGTATCTTGCAACTTGCAAACGGTCCAAAGAATAATAAATATAATATAACTGGGTACAAATATTATATTTTAAAGTTATGTATGCTGGGGATAACCTCCGCCATACCTGGAAGTTTTTTTGGTAAATACAATAAATATCTTTTAGAATAAAAATATGTTATATAGATACAGTTGACAAGTATTGTATGGTCCTATCAGAGATTGCTCTCCTACAACTACATCCATATAAATTAAATCTAAAACATCGTATTTAATGTTAATATATTTGTAAATATAAGATAATCATGTAAAAAATGTCCAGTATGTTTAATGTTTTTTTTTTGTTATGATTTGAACTCTTAATTTTTATTCACGATATATCATATTCTGTCTTTTTTTTAATAATATATCACATTCTGTCGTTATTACCCGAGTTAGTCTTAGGTCAGGCCTATTTGTTTAAAAGAAATGATTTTTAATTTTTAATTATTTATTATTCATTATAAGCATACACAATGTAAAAAAACATTGCTTATAAATGACAAATAATTCATGTGGCGGCGTTCCGCATAGCATGTGTTTGATGACTAACAAAAGCTCGACAAAATAACCAAAAGGTTAGGTTTGAAATCACAACAATTCAAGACAAGCATATGAATCTCATGACTTTTTAGACTTCTTGAAGTGAAAGCCAATAGCAGCATGACTAATTTATTGTGATATGATAAATTAATATTTAAATTTTTATTAAAATGAATATTCATATTTAATATTTGACTTCATATAAAATTACTTTTAAAAAGAGGATACATATAAATAATCCGAAAAAAAAAGGTGAAAACCAAACTGGTTTTGCATGTGTCTTGCCACCTACCAAGTACCAGCGTTCTTTATTTTTTCTGAAGAAAAAAATGTAGCCTAACTTTTTTATCCTTAAGTTGACTTTCAACGGATCCAGAAACATTACTGTAATAAAAAATATTGACCTAAATTTATTTGTACTAAATAACCTTAAATTTTTAAATTTTTTTTAAAAAAGTAAATAAAAATAAAATTTTATATTTAAAATATAATATATAATCTCATAATAACTCTTTCTTTGAGAGAAGCATGCATCTTTCACATCATTAATTTTTTTTTATTGTATACAGGTAGTTTTTTATTAGAGATGATTTTATTTAAGATACTGTTGGATATTAAATATGTGTATATTATTAATTAATTCATATAACACCTACTTGTATTGAATTGTAGACCGGAGGGTGGCATGATTCAGAATCAAATTTTGCTATCGTTCAATGTAAATTTTAATATTGACCACAAAATTTAAATTTTAATAAAATAAATACTCCCTTGAATATAAAAAAATAAATGCTTCCTCCTGAATTTAAATAGTATATTTTAAAATATTTTATGTGGTCCAAAATATAGAATATTAGATTGTTCTTTTAATTTTTTTCAAACATACCCTTACTTTATTTATTATTTTTTTAAAAATAATTTATTAAAATTTTAATTGTTATTATTGAAGCATTTATATATGACATTTAATTAATGAGAGTACAATTAAAAAGATGTATAATTTTTTACAAAATATTAAGATCTTAATAAATTTTGTTTTAAAAAAACCATGATGTAGTTACCCCAATGTTCTGTAACAATATGTATGGAAAATTAAACATTAAAAATTTACAATTCTATGAATAAGTTTTCTTATTATTATACTCTGTCCTTCTTAAATTACAAGACATTTTAAAAAAATTTAACATTCAAAAATAAAAAATACTTTAAAAATATTAATATTTTATTAAATATGCTTATTCTAATATTATCCTTTTTTATCTATTTAATTTTTTAATTTTTCTCTTTTTTTAATATACTAAATGAATGATTTTTTTAAAAAATAAAATTATTACGTGTATTTAAAAAAATTTATTATTATGCAAAATTTGATTTAAAAATATTTATAATTTAAGTTGAATTGCATTATATTTAGTATGGAAATTTGATCCATTAGTTATTAAAAATTAAAAGTCAAATAGTTGTGAAAAAAAGTAAAAGTCAAATAGGATGAACTCTTCTTGTTCTATAATACACCTGTGAATGTCGACTTCAGTTTTATTTATTTATTTTTCTATCATCATCATCAGGAAAAATCACAATTAACGACCTGTTAAATTATTTAGGAAGATGCTAATCGATCAATGAATTTGGAGAATTGGGAAATTATTCAGGAAGAAGGAGAAAGTTTGTGGACTTTTGAGAAGGGGTGTTTTAGTGTAAAAAAAGAAAGGAAGAAAATTTTTTAAATTAAAAAAAAACCATAATCCTTAAATTTAATTTTAAAATTTTAAGATCCTCAATTGTTATGACTAGTTTGCCAAAAAAGAAAAAAATTGTTATTTCTAGTATTTCCTGGTCTTTAATTGTAAATTTCCCCGAATAAAACGGTCCATGAGAAAGGATCGCCGAAATTGATTTAGTAAGGAGGCAATTTGTTGATTAAGGAAAAAAAAAAACAAGAAGAAGAAGCAGGCACTTTTGACTTTTTGTATTTCTCGAAGTATGCGTTTGATTTTTATTTTTTTTCCTCTTAAATAAGAAACTTCCCATCAGGTAAACTGATAAACAAAAACTCCCCATTTTATAACATATTATATTATTAGTAAAAAACACTGATACCCCTTCAATTAATGAAAAAAAAATTGGGATTGAAGACTCCAAAAAAACGCTAGACTAAATAGAGATAAAAAATTTCATTATTTCATAATTTTAACGGTAAGATATCAATATTCTTTTTTTTTAAGAAAAGTTTAAACAAATTGGATTTTGAGGCTTGTCAAAGTTAAAACAAGCCTTCAAACTTAATAATTCTTATAAAATACTTACATATCATTTACTAACAAATTTCTTACATTAGATCTATAATTTTATGAATTAAGATCTGAATCCTTGAACGAATATTTATTGGTAAGATATCAATATTATGTATAAAATATAGAATTGAAAAATGCTGCACTTGCCCCAAGTCAATATTCAAATTTAGAGCCTCCTCTAGCTTTATTTTATTTTATTATTTTATTTTTTTTAATGTTTTAACGTGTCTAGATTCAGTGCACATTTAAATATATGCATCATGTGCGTTCAAATGAAATCAAGGTGGCTTAGACTTTAGGTCTTATTTATTTTACTTTTGTAATACTTTTATGTTAAATAAACTGTTATTTACCTGATAGCTTTAGAGTTATATAATTAATAACTGATAAAAGTTACTCCAATTAGTATACATTTAGTCCATAAATGAAAAGATTATGTGTTTAAATCTTACTATTAATATAAAGATTTTATTTGTGAGTAATCTATAAATACTTATATACATACTTTTTGAATTTGAAAACATATCCTAATGCCTTAGTGGGTCCTCAGACTCAACTCACTTAAATTTTTATTGATTAAAAAGCATTATATAGCCATGCCAGTATTATTTTAGGCCTATTTTTTAAGATAAAAACTATTAACATTTAATTTAAAAGATTTGAATAAATAATCAAAACTCATTTAGACGATTCTATATAATATGCATATGCACAGTCATAAGTAATGATGTGCCACACTTTTATTTTATATATATATATATATATATATAAATATATTTCTGTTGGTTGCTGGTCATTTTTCTCATTGAAAACATCTTCTCACGAAATATATTTGACAAAGTAAAAGTAGCTGTGGGAAGCCATTATGTCATACATTTGATAATTCCTTTTGAGTTTGGACACTTATTCATTCCTTTCTCTGATCTTCTTTCAAGTTGATTGGAATTTCTTTTCCTATATATACCATCACTTTCATTTCCTTCATTTCTCATCAAAACATATCTTGTAGTACTCTTCCACAAACAATCACACTTCTCGATCTTCTCCGGCTACAAACCTTTTTCAGATATGGCGACAGCACCGGCATCTCTCACCGGAGTCACTGTGGAGTTCCTCGAGTTCCCAGCTACTGTGACTCCTCCGGCCGGCTCCGGCAAGTCTTATTTTCTCGGTGGTGCAGGTGATCTTCTTCTACCTCTTCTTCTTACACACTGCATCTGTCACTGCAAAAAACTTCGCTGATGATCATATTGTCTTTCATGGGTTGGATCTGATTCAGCTGAAAATATTAATTTGCTGGTGCATGTACAAGTATATGAAATTAAGTGCAAGTGAATTTATTATTATTATATATGTTGATGATGGCAGGGACGTATTTACATTAGGTATAGAGAGGGCGATTGCTCCCACTAGAAAATAAAATTTTTACCTAAACTTTAGTTAAAGCTACACTTGTCGCCCTTTAAAATTGTAATTGATCTCATAAAAAAATTAATTGCCCCACATTCTCTTCAAAATTATCAAGCATACATATTTAAAAACATCATTTATTCTTATATTTATTATAAAAATAAATTTATGTTGCAATTGACATTAATATATATTTTTAAAATTATCATATATTTTATTTATATATTATTTTTATCAATATTTAGAATTATATTTTCTTCAAAAACATTAATATTTATATTTAGTATAAATTTTTCCTCCTCTAATAAATTTTTCTAGATCCGTCATAGGATGATGGAGATGAAGAAAAATTCAATCATTTTCATGCATTTGATTGCGTGCAGGGTTTTTGTTTGAAAATCTATTATTGACTCCTCTCATCCTATTTCCATATATTACTACTTCTAATATGCCTAGGTAGAATCAAAAAAAAAATTTAAAATTTAATTAATTTTATCTAAAAATTTATTAAATCTTTAATTTTATCTTTATTAAATATGTATATTTTAATAATTTTTTTCACCAACATTTTACCAAGGATGTACAAAGAAAATTTTGTGGTGAAAATTTAATGATATAATTTATAAATAGGATAGAAAAACCTTCTCTCTCGGTTTATAAATAAGATATTGGAGGACCCAAGGGAGTATTAAATTTGAGTGAATTATTTATTAAACCTATGAAAAATTCAAATACTTCTCTTGTAGTGAGTTTTTTTCTTTTAATTTGAGTGAATTTTATTATATTTGAAAGTAGAAATAAGTAATTTTTTTACTTTAATACTCCCATTTTAATTTCTTCAATATATTGAGAGGATTTAAATTTCAAGCCTTTACACATACATCATCTCATTTTTACAACATGATTTCATCTCATTTATAAGGCTATGTTTGAAAACCAATTAAAAATAAGTTCTTGCCATTTTTCAGATAAAATTACTTTCACATCACTGCGAAACGAACAAGTTTTTTCTAAATATTGCGAGAAGTGAGAAAACTTGCTCCTTTGTATAAAAAAAAAAGGAAAAAAAAAAGAAGAAAACTTACTCCTCTTTTGACAAAAAAAAAAAAAGCTAATGTTTGGACTAATTGATTTGAATTTGAAATTTTACATTGCAAATCTCATATTTAAAATTTATTTATTTAAAAATTATTTTTTTGTGTAGTTTAAAAAAGAAAAAATATAATCATCGATTCTTATAATTTTATTAATTTTTTCTTTTAATCTCTATAGTTTTTTAAATATTTTTAGTCATTATAATTTTAATAAAATAGAGTGATATTTATTACTCAAACCCCTAAAGTTTAAGTAAAAAAATTAAAAAAAAATAAAACCAAAACTAATGATTATATTTTTATTTTTAAAAAATTCAAATAAAGAAAATAGATGAGTTAATATTCAAAATAAAAATAAAAAATTGGAAATGGCAAATTTTTTTTATTTTTTAATTGATGAGAGATTAGAACGAGACGATTAAAGATATGAGAAGCATGGAGATGTTAATAGTAAAAACATGAAAATAACAATATGTTTGAAATGATAAGAATTTCAAATGATTAGAATATAGAGAAAATTTAAAATTATAAAAAAATTATATAAAAAATGGATTTAAATTTAGATTAAATTTTAATTGATAAATGTTTATGTATTGGTATCCAAATTCAAATTCAAATTTCTATTAATTCAAACGGAGCATTAATAAATTTAATCAAATCCAACTGGATCTAGATTGTGCCTGCTCCCTTGGTTCTTTGTTTACTTCCTCATCCGCTAAGCTGGCTTTTGCCATTTTTAATTATGCTTCTTTTTTTTTATTTCGCTCTTTTTTTTTTGGGTCAAATATTTCGGTCTCATTCTACATGTGAAGCGCAATAATTATCTCCTTTTTTTTCTATATAAAATAAAGTCGTCACTTTCATGATGGTCCATATATATTGTATACCATCATATTATTATTAAAGCGTAACCTTGATTGCTTTTGTTTTGAATAAAATAATTAAAATTATTGAAGTTGGTGGAGAATGAGGTATGAAGGTGTTGTAAGATAATTGATGAATAATGATTTTACTATTATAGTCATTATCCAGAGTAAGAACCAATATATATATAATATAAAATAATAAAAAGTCATAATATTCGCAAATCAGGTATGAATGTTATCTTTGCACTACTCTCTATGCCACTCTAATGTTATATATACACACATCTAATCCGATAGTTAATATAAGATAAAAGTTTGGAATTTTTTTCTTAATATAAGACAAAATTAAAATAATTAATTTTTTTCCTAATTTTATCCCTTGTTTATCTATTGTCCTTAAATTGCTTGAATACAATTTATTATGATTATTAATTATAAATACGAAAAAATTAGAAATTTATATTTTTTAATAATTTTAAGGATATAACTATATTTTTTAATAAATGTAAAGTTAATTAACTTTGTTTTATATAAAGAACTTAGGGTGTGTGTATTTTATGTTTAAATTTTTATTATTTCTTCTAATAGTCAAATCAATATACGTGCTTCAACCAAAAAGTTTCTATATCAAGTTTTTACTTATTTAATGTTCATAAATATATGTTTGAATAAAATATTTTTGGCAGGTGTGAGGGGGTTGACAATAGATGGGAAGTTCATAAAGTTTACAGGCATTGGAGTTTACTTGGAAGACAAGGCATTCTCATTTTTGGCCATTAAGTGGAAGGGCAAGACAGAAGATGAGTTGGTGAATTCCATTGATTTTTTCAGAGATATTATCAAAGGTAATCACATTATGGGTTTAATTTATTTTTATTTTTTATTATGAATGAGGAATATTTTGTGTTGGGGAGTGAAAACTAATCTTCCTAAAAACAAGAGTATAAATAGACTCTTAATTGTTTGCTTAAAGAGTAAGATCATCTATTACTTATGTCAATCTAAATTTGTTCATGTACAAATATTTTTATGAGTTTTTTTAAGGCTATATATATAATTTTAAAAATACTATATAGGTTTTGAAAATAGAGTGGCAGTTAATGTTATTCAATAAAAATTAAGGGAGATTTGAGGTACTACCAGTTCCTTACAACTATATTTTTTAAAATTTACAAATTGAAAAATAAAATCAGGAAGCTATCATTTGTAAAATAAAGATGAAGATAGATAAATATTTTCTTCTAAAATTAAAATTGTAATATAATTACAAATATGAAACAAAAATCATATATTAGATTTTTATAAAAACATAAATACACACACACATATATAATTTTATCACATATATAGTTGAACCAAAGACCATCAATGCCTTTGTTTTCTTCTTAGAAGAATATGAATGTCACTAGTTCTTTGTTTTCCATCATGTGGCAAATTAATATTTCAAAAGAAAGTTTGAGACTAGTAAAATGGGTTAGTCAATCACAATATAACAAATTAATATTCAAATCCTCACTGGGAGATATATAATAACTAATCACACCTCTAATAAAATCACCTCCAATAAAAAAATATTTGTGAACAATGAAAAAAAACAGAGGAGAGCGTTAAACGGATGATTGAATGATTTGGGCCAATAGAAACAAAAACATACAAATAAAGAAAATTATGTGTTGATTTGACTTGATTTGGATTGCAATGTAAATATATATTAATTGCAGGACCATACGAGAAACTGATAAGAGGGTCGAAGATATTGCCACTAGAAGGAGCAGAATACGTGAGGAAGGTCTCAGAAAACTGTGTGAGTCACATGAAATCTGTGGGGACTTACGGGGAAGCAGAGGCTGAAGCAGTTGAGAAGTTCATTCAAATCTTCAAGCCCCACCACTTCGCCATCGGCTCCTCTGTTTTCTACTTGCAATCCCCTGATGGAACTCTAACGGTTAGTTTTTCATTCAATTTAATTTAATCAATGCATATACTAATGTTGTTTTGATTGAGTGAGAATGGAATGCACTCGTGGTATCTTCTTAAGTTAAATTTGGACTTTAAATCATGTAAATTTAGAACCAAGAATAAGGTTTAGGATTGGGGAGCTACCCGTTTTTATAATGGTTCATGCTTCAAAAAATGATATTTTTTAAAAAATCAGGGTTTGAAGTCTAGCTTTAATAGGCTTTAAAAAAAAAAAAGAAAAATGCTCAAGCTCAAGCTATTCATTTATGCTTGTTTTTGTTTTACCCCTGAAAAATAAAAAAAATTAATTTTTAAATTGAATTTAAAAGTTATATTAATACATTAAAATTAAAATTTTTATTATTTATTTTTAATTTTTTAACATTATAATTTGTATTGTTAAAAAAATGAAATATTACAATTGAAAATTTTAATTTTAAAAAAAATAATAAAAACAAACTTACAAGTCCATTCTGAACCTTTTGAATAAGGGTAGAGTATCACAAATTGATCAATTTTAAGATAGCCGAACTTATAGATTTGAGCCCATATAAACCAAGCCTGCATGTTTCCTAGCTTGTTGCCTCGTGTAACTAGTTATGAAGTGAGGATCACATGTTGATTACTTAAAATAACAATTTAATTTGTCGTGTAAATGACATTTTCTTGGTTTGTTTGTCATTATGAATTTATGCAGATAAGTTTCTCGGACGATGCCACACTGCCAGAAACTCCAGCAGGAGTGATAGAAAACAAAGCACTTTCAGAAACAGTGTTGGAGACGATGATCGGAGAGCATGCTGTCTCTCCTGCTTTGAAACAGTGTTTGGCTTCCAGATTGGCTCCTTTATTCAAAGACGTCCCTCAAAATTGAGAATTTTATGAATTTGGAACTCAATTTCACACTCTCACATTCAATCACTCAATTTGGAACTCAATGTGCTGTTTTAATTTCTGTATTGTTGTGCTGATGTGTTCTTTATATTAATTGTTAGTGCATTGTGTATTTTTTTCTCCATAAATTTCGAAATAATTTAATTATATGAGCAAAATGTTCTTATATTACTCTTTTAATTAACTATTCCTATGTCCATACAAGGCAGAGAAATAAGATTAATTTTGATCTTATATATTTATAAATTATAATTTTTTTTATATTCGCAACAATACAACAATAAATTATAACTTCACATGTTAAATTTTTAATTTACTATTGTATTATTGTAAATATAAAAAGAAAAGTTGTAATTATTTAAACAAAACTTGTGAATTATTTTATTTTCAATAAGGGTAATTTGATCATTTATATAAATTTATTAATGATAAAAAAGTTCCTAAAGTCTTTAATAAAATTATAATATTTTAAGGGATCAAATTATCATTTACATATTTCAGAAAAATTTTATCATCAATTTCCCTGAATTTTACTATATATATATATATATAGATTTTACTCTGAGTTCCACACCTATTTTTTAATTTTTGTTGTGAGTCCACATGACCTATTAATATATACAATTTAAAAAGGAAAAAAAATTATGGTACTATTCATCTAACACTTCTGTGTGATGGATTTTATTTTATATATATATATATATATATATAGGTACATAGATGAGAGACAAAAACATGATGTTAGGTTCCTCTAAATCCAACTCGATAACAAAATTGATAACTTTAATCAACCATGAGCCAGTAAACCCAATCTCCATGTTTTAACAAAAACTTGATTAAAAAAAATGATACTTGTAGACAGAGCGGGGCGCTTTAGAGTCTAAGACGCATTTCCTTTTGGGACATTCCATAAAAGTAGAACGATAAAAAACGAGTGCTAGAATTTGATTTGATTTTCTACACTGGCTGCTGAAACGACTGGTCTAAAAACAAAATAAATTATCTTTTTTATTTTTATTTTTGGCTTTTTATACTAGTCAAGCGTACCACTGATATAAAAAGTATGAAAAATAGTTGCACACATAATAGGGGTAGAAATTAATTTTTTTAAAAAAATATCTTTAACTTTTTACACGAGTTAAATATTCAACTAATGTAAAAAGTCAATAACCATGAAATTTATTTTCAATAATGCTATTGTGCACACTTTCTACATATTTTTTTTGTCAAAGAACATTTTTATTTTTCAATTATTTATTCAAAAGTATTTAGTATTTTAAATTATTTTGTCGTGAAATGTTTTCTTTTAATAATTAAAAATGGTGCAATATTGACTTTATGTTAATAGAGATTAATTATGACTATTAATTGATTCAAAAAATGAAAAAAGACATATAATTATTAAAAAAAAGACCAAAAAAATTACAATTGATTACGCTCTAAGAAGATTCATCCTAATTAAATACCTTAAGTTACAAATATATATCAAGAGACAACTATTGTTTCTACGGTATAAACGACCAAAATATCATTTTCACCAACTACTATGACAAATTACTAGATGAATTTTAGATCATTAATGTTAGAAACAACACCGGTAATTAATTAAAAAAATAATATATTTTTTAATAATAGCTTATTAAAAAATTAACACTTTTAATATTTAATAATTTTTAATGATGTTATTGCCAGCAATAATAATCAAATAATTACCCAGTAGTCGGTTGAAGTGGCTGGTCATTGAAACATTTCATATATTTTCACTTCTTTAAAAAATAAGTATTCATAAGGATCATTTTTAAGCCTTGATGGTCATCAAATACCAAAGATAAAAAGTAAAAAATGCCAATTAGATTTTAAACACATGCGTTTTCCAGAATCTTTCATTAACTTTCAAAATTCATAACTGATTTTATAAAAATCATAATGAGGTTAATTAAGTTTCTAAATCAAGCTTAGGAGGTTATCTTCAAGGGAAAAATAATCCCTAACTTCACATAACAACCAATATTTATTGAGACGTTTTCGTTCTTCAATTCTTCAGTTATCTCCAAAAAAATTTCCAGATTCCAAATTTCCAGATTTCATAATTTACAACTCAAAATTTAGTGTTTCAGGACTTCATTTGAAACTTAAAATGCCCTCTAAGTAACCAAAAATTCAAGGTAATAATTACCAGAAAGCTAGTTACAATACCTTTACTAACCAAGTTACCTTGTATAAATATTTTATTTTAGTAGCTTATAACATATATAAAAATATTTACATACCGAGATATTATCTATTCATGATTATAATTGAATTATAAACATATTTGCAATTTATTTTTATAGTTACAACTCAAAATGTAATCACGAAACTAGAGATATATATATATATATATATTTACAACTCAAAATACATCAAAATATAATTAAAAAGGAAGGTAAAAAAGATAAATTTTTCATTATTCTCTCTCCTTGCTATAATTCTTGGATGAACTTGCAACTATTATTTGTGATATAAAAAGAGGGGTAATATTTATAAAAAGCTTAGTAGTATCAATCTATGTCAAGTTTCAAACAATAATGGTTCACTCATAAAAAAATAAGCTTAAATCATGAATTATGAAACTCAACAAGTATAGACATACATTGGCCAAAGTGTAACTAGCAATAAACCATCTCATTAAATCATAAAATTTTTATAATTCATGGTAATAAAATTCTATAACATTAAATCAACCAATATTGTAATTATAAGAATTAGAGAAATACCACTTTAGATTAAAACACTTTTTTATCCCACCCCTCATCCTTGGGTTAAGCTGGCTCAGGGTTGAGTCCTCTCACATCATGGAGGGGGTTCAATTCTTGGGTTGATTGAAGTGTTGGGGGAGGTATCTTAGTTTTAAAATGTTTAGGTAAATGCTCGAGAGTAATTGATAGCTTGCCTTGCCTAACATTGGTGTCACCTAGGAGGAATGAACAAAATGTCCTGCCCTTAAATTGTGGGCGAGCCTGGCTCCCTTCCAAAAATTTTTTGTATAAAAAAACACTTTTTTGTCTCAATTTCTCTTGAAAATAAACATTTTTGGACTTCTCACAAATATCATAGCGTAAAAGAATTATCCAATCACCATTATTATATTATTTTCACAATTTAAAATAATTTCATATATTTAAATATCCAAAATAAATTCTCCAAGAATCGTTGTACTGTCTTGCACGGTGAAAGAATTTCTCCCACTAGTGTTTGCTTCTCCTCTCTATTAATTAGAAACTCCTACTCTAACAATTAATGTGCTTTTCCCATTAGCAGAATTATGTATAATAGCATCAATATAACAGGGGAAAACTAAAATTCCAATCCTCTTATTACTCACGGTCAAAACCACCCATTCTTCTTCTTCTTTTAACTTCATAATTATAATTTGTGAAACATGCTTCCCCTTTTAGCCAAATGAAACGCAATAACAGGGACACTTTCACATTTGCTAAATTTTTATTTCCCCACTTTATATTTAGAATAACTTGAGTGGGTATAATAAAACAAAAACTACAATACCCTGTTCATCAAAATTAACTACCGAACAAAACAGAGCAAGGGGGAAAATCTTAACTCTATTTTCTGATTTCTATATTGAGTGGACATTCACTTAGTACTTTTCAATCATTTTTCCTACTTCAAAATACTCATAAATAAGCTGTAAAAAAAAAAAAAACATCTGACCAGTATTTTTCAATCCCATATTGTAACTTCTAGAACTCATCAATTCATCCAAAAACTCATAAATTTATTTTTATCTCATTCCAAACATTCACAGTCTTGAGTTTTTAGATTTTATCTCGCTAAGCTCCTTTTAAAATCTAGAAATCAAGAAACAATTAAATTCAATCGAAAGCTTGAATTGAGTAAGGTCAGATTTTGCTTTTGCATGTGGATTTTGAGCTAAAAATAATGAATATTTGGCTATGTTGAAGTCTCTCTCTCAACTCTCTCAAACTCCATGTGGAAGCTGAACTCTCTTCCCCTCTCCCACTCACGCTGCTGTATCCGAAAAAGAGGAAGGAAAAGAGTGAATGTTTGCCTATTAAACTTTCACTTGTTACCTGCTCAAACCAACTACTTCCACGTGGCCCATAATTAATTCTTTTAATTCAAAAGATAAGCCCAACATCCATTCTGTTGGAAAATAATTAATTTCGTCTATGGGCTCACAATGGGCTACGGCAAGTTAATATTATGAAGCACTGGCCGGAAGAAGAAAGAATGAGAAGCTTTTGTATATATAGTCCGAATCAAATTCAAAAAATAGGCTAACATTTATTATATTTTATATTATGATAATTTTAATATTTAATTGAGTTTTATATGATAAAACTATCCTCTTTATAAATAATATAATATTTTTTAAATATTTTTTTTGAGACGAAAACCTTTTTTTAAATACTCGAATATAAAAGATAGCTTTGTTTAACCCTCTTTCAAAAAAAAAAAATATGACGCAATTAAACTCCCCCATATTTATAAGATTAAATAGTATTGATAAGTTTTTATTGATAAGTTTTATTATTTATATATAGTTGTATATTACTGATATGCTATCGTAGATTAGAAATACAAAAAAAAAATATAATCATTTACCTAAAATAGATCAAACATAATCTGTATAAAATTTTAGACATCTTAACTTATCATATAAAATTAAGTATCTAAACTAATACATTTCCTTTTCCATCATAAGAAATAAAGAGATTAAACATCCCTATATTTACAAGATTAAATAGTATTGATAAGTTTTCACTAATATAGTTTATCATATATACTATTGTGGATCAAAAATACAAAAAAAAAATATAATCATTTGCTCAAAATAAATTAAACACAGTTTATAAAAAAATCTGGACATCTTAACTTATCATGTATAATCAAATACCCTTTTTTGCAATAAAAGTTTTAGGTTTATGTTCATCTTCATGGAAGAAAGCCTAACAACGAGACTTATTTATAGAGGCACAAAATTGAACAATTCATGTTGAGACACCTTTTGCAGAATAGTGTACTTGTTAGGACAACAAAAAAGTAATTTGTGAATATCACTTTGATTCCTTTGCCCACCAAGAAAGGCAAAGAATTATTGTGAAAGTAAGAGAGATACGATGGACGTGTGTGTAGGGATTTGATTCATATAGTTAAAGGTTAAAATCATTTAGTTTATGCGAAGTATTTTAATAATATATTTGTTCTGTGGATAAAAGGGAAAAATCACCTCTAATTAATTTTATGAATAGACCATATTTTAAAATATTAAAAACCCCATTCATAATTTTTGAGAACTATATTTTTTATGACCATTAGGCCAATTTACTCAAAGAATGATGGTTTTGAAAGGTTTTAATATTCCATATCTTATAATCAATTCTTTCAAATATTTCTTTCCTTATATTCTAATTTTTCTTTATGTCCCATAAATAATTCTTGTTTATTATTCAATCACTTATAAATATCTTTGTCCAATGGTCAATCCCAATATCTTCTAGAAATCATTTTTCATATTTCTCCATATTTGACTAATATTATTCCTAAATTCTCCATTGACAAAGGTATAAAAAAAAAAATTCCGGACATGAAAGTCATTACTTTGACAAAAACTATTGATAGTTTAGACTTGACATATATTTCTTCTATATAAGTTGCTTATAATTATTATATAGTTAAATAAAACATATTGTCTAATACATGTTACTACCTGCACCATTTATATATGCCTAAAATTAAATTTTCAACAAGGGCTTCATATTCATCACAAATTAGCAATGTATCATATTCAACTTGTGGTAAGTGTTGTGAGCAACTACCTAACTACTTAACAATCCAACAAATTCACAATCCTCTCCTTATGTCATCACATAAATTGGACTAAACCAGCTTGAAATGTGCTATAGATTATACTTATGTTTTCAAGGGATCTTGCATTTTATATGAGGTACACTTATATGCGTATGTGTATGCGCGATATGTATATACATATGTATATGCGTGCGCCTAAATTTGAAGTCAACTTTTGAAATTTGACTTTTTTTTTTAATCAAACTGTTAAGCATATAAATAGGAGAAAGCACTCAAAACAAAAATTGTGAGATAGACACATAGACTATTTTTCTTTTTGAATAAAAGGTTGACTAAGGAAATAATAAAAAAACAGTGTTTATTTTCTCAGTTTATCATAACCCAATAATAACCTCCCATAACCTAACAAGAGTTTGGTGACATATATAAGCTTAAGATTAAGCTTTTATGAGTAGGCTTGAGTCAATTAGTAGGATATTTATTAGCTGCCCTATAGACATGCTCAATAGTTAATTTAGAGTTGTAAATATGGGTTAATTTTGATCATATGAATTGGCCCATGTAAGTTGAGAAATATAAGTTGGATTGAATTAGAAATGACATATATTTAGAAAATACTATTACACCATAAAACTTATCAAATTCCTCAACCCCACATAATTGAAGCCGTTTAAGTATTCTGCATCTCAATTTCTGGTACTTCCTCCATATCTGAATATAAATCCTAATACTGAAAAACACAACCAAAGATAGGTATCAAAATCTATATACTATGTAAAAATTAATTTTTATTTTTTATGTTTACTTTCTATTTAACACCACAATATATTATTCTTGAAAACAATTAAGTGTTAGTTATATTTAAAAATCTGTGTTAGGACTTACATTTATGGAGGTTTTTTTTTACCAACACATTTATGGAGATAAGGAGGGTGAAAATTAAGAGTTATATTTATGGAGGGATGGATTAAGTCCTATTCAATAAATCAAACTTGTTTTTGAGTCCTTTCACACGAGAAGCTTCTCCCAAGTGATTCTTTGATTTGATATTGACTTTTGTGTTTTTTATACACAAAAATTTAGGTGAGTTTGAAATTTATTAAGGTCAAAATATACCTCTAAATTCAAAAATTACTTACAGATCATACACCAACAAAATCCTTACATTAAGAATGAGATTTTTTTTAGATAATAAATGATGAGATTTGATTTCACGATTTTGTATGTTATATGCTAAATTCATATCAATTAAACTAACTTTTTTTTATTTGATATAAACTTTCTATTGACACAAGCAATATCAATTTCAAATGCTTACGGGTATTTGTGGCAGGACAAAACAATTAATTTTGCCGGCAATGTGTATACCCAAGAGACTTTTCTTGTAGCTAGATCAGAAAATTGATTTCCACCGCTAAGAATAGATTTGTGGACATGTTAGAGATGTACCCCTTGTGCAAATTTTTTTTGAATCACTTAAAATTAAATAAAGATAATTTAAATATTATTATTATTATTATTATTATTATTATTATTATTATTTACAATAAGAACTGCTATATTAAATATTATTTTTTAAAATAATTATAAAATTCCTAAATGGTTAAAAAAATCACTACAAAACATACCACCTCCATTTCCCCAAACAAGCCATAGGTAAACAGATAGTGACATCATGAGAGAAACTTAGAAACCTAATATTCTATTATTTCAAACATATTGGTAATTAAATTCTGTATAATACATCATTCATTTGAACTTAGGAATACAAAAATCCTCCTTGACTCCAGAAAGAGAGAAAAACAGGATTTTTGTATTAAGTTTAACAGACGATAATGGATTATAAAAATTTATCTTACATAATGGAGATCCTATAATAATATTAATCAATTATATAAATATAAACTTATGAACTAAAGTCCCGTTTGATTCACTGAAAATATTTTGAAAAAAATGAAACTAAAAAAGGAATGGGAATTAGAATACGAAAGAGACTAAAAATGAATTTTAAAAAGACGTTTGGTGTGATGGAGAAAATGCATAGAATCTTGATGTGATTTTTGTTTGGTTCAAATGCAATTAAGCATGGAAAAGAAAGCCAAAAAAATGAAAAGACAATAATATCCTTGTCTTCATCTTTTGTCCCATAATTCTCTTTTGGTTTTCGTCAACCATTATTTTTTTCTTCCTTTCAACAAAATCCATCAACGGCCTTCTTCCACAACTCTCACTTTCAATCCCCCAACTCTCTCCTTCTTCCACAAAACAAAATCAAAAACCATGGCCTCATTTTAATCAAGTAATGACGCCATCAATTGATAGGGACAACAGCGACCGTCATCATACGTGTTAGTGGAGTTTGCTACGGAGATGGAGCTGTGCACTGTCCTTTCAATGAAGCTTCGCTGGAGACGAAGTTGTGTGAAATCAAGCTCTTTTCTTTCACTGCTGAAGATGGATGGTGGAGGGAGATTTATTTGTGAAAGGCATTGGGGAATAAATGGTGGAACAGTTATGGGGCAAGGGGCAAAGTGGGGATTAAAATTATTTTTTTTGGGAAAATAAAATTTTCCTTTAAACTAGTTAAAGAATTGATTTTTCAGGTAGTGCCTGGAAAGTCGATTCTCGAGAATAAAAAATCATGCTAACCGAGCAAGGGATTATGCATTTTCCCTTTCCTTTTCTGTTTCCCAGTGCTCGATTCCTGTACACCAAACGAGCCTTAAATAATAGTAGGGTCGTTGAAATTGTAGGGTGGAATTTATTGGTTTTTACTCAACCATTAATTGCGCACATTTTTGCCTTTGTAAGAAAAGCTGTGTAGTTTATTTGTTTATATTTTAATATAAATACCTTTCTTTTGATTTAACCTCATTTTTTAATTAATGAATCTCATATAATCAAAGATTGACCACTCGAATCAAAGATTATTTTATTTTTGTATTTTTATGTTAAACTACTATTTATTTATAAGTTGATAGTTATAAATATTATTTGATATTCTACATTATTTATTGTAAAAATATTGAAATTCGTCCGAAAATTAAAAGATACCCGCCAAAGGTAAGTAAATGACATATTTAAGGATATTTTAAGAATATTAATTTCAGTTAATGACCATAATTTTTTTATATTAAAGAAAAGACTAATATCCTTGATTGGAATATAGATTTTTCTTGGTTAATTTTTTTTAGTATTCGTTTTTAACATTTTCGATGTGTATATATATCATTTTCAATATCCTTTTTTTAAAATTTTTTAATATTCACATTTAATATTTCCAATGCTTATTTTTCACATTTTTAGCACTACCACTTTTCATTTTTTTAATATAAAAAATGTTAAAGATGAGTACTAAAAAGATCAAAATTAACCATTGAAGACATCAAATGATGAGTACTGAAAATATGAGCGATTATTAGTACTGAAAAGAACAAACATGAGTATTGAAGAAGTTAAGAAAATTTAATTCCAATTAAGAATTTTGTTCCTTTTTTAATTTCTAAAATTTAAAATTTTTAATCGTCATTGATGCTTTTAGAGGATACTTAAATGTCATTTACCCTTAAAAGATCTATACCTTCCAAATTTGATCTAAATGATTTGTCTATATCTTTAACTTTATAAGCAAAAGATCTGTGAAAGCTATATTTACATTTTAATATAAATATTTATCTTTTGATTGTGCTTCATTTTCTCATTAAGGAATATAATATCATATATTTGACAAAGTAAAACATGTGGGAAACCATATTATGTTTGATACCGTTTGACACTTTTCTATTTACTTCTCTTTCAGTTTTATAGAATTTATTTAAGTGAAAAAAGAAAACAAAATAAAAACAAAAAGAAGTTGGATGGCATTTCTTTTCCTATATATATATATATCACCATCCCCTTCCTTAGTTTCTCCAAACAAATCTTTCACTTCTTCCACAAATCAGAGTACTCTTCTTAGGTGCAACCTTCTTCAGATATGGCGACAGTACCAGCATCCCTCACCGGAGTGACTGTGGAGTTCCTCGAGTATCCGGCCACCGTGACGGCTCCGGCAAGCTCTGGCAAGACCTATTATCTCGGTGGTGCAGGTTTTTCCTCTACCTCTTCTTCTAATATATGCACTGTATATCTCATTGCAAAACTTTGTTTATTATATGTTGTGTTTCATGGGTTAGATCGCCGATTCAACTAAAGTATTGTTGGGAGAGTTTTTGGGATTTAAGTTCTTCTGATTTGAGTGGATTTTATGAAATTTTAAAATTACAAGGAAATAATTTTTTAAAAAAATTTTACTATCTTTTTAATTATTTTTTTTGATAACGTCAGAAAGTAAATTTTTAATAAATTTTTTACATAAGAATGATTTATATTTTAAAACTTTTCACATGCATCACCTTGAAATTTATTAACTTGGCATATCTCAATGTCTTATGATTTGTTTGGTGGAGGGTTTTAAGGGAGAGTGAAGATTATAATTACTTCAATTTTAAAAAAATAGAGAAGTTAAAAAAAATCAATTTTCCTTTTTCTTATAATTTATATATTATTTTTATTAAAATTTTATAATCTCACTTATCCTTTTTTGTTTGAAAAAAAAATGAATTCATTGAAAACTTCCCTCTTCTTACCTCCAAAAACCTCCAACCAAACAAGGGGTTAAGTTTTAGCTATTTACTCTATAGATCCCTATACTTTATAACTCAGTAATAAGTAATAACTTAGCTTTTTAACGAATAAATATTTTCCAAACACGCAATGACTGAATTATTAAATAATCAAAACTTGAGAGCTGGTTTATAATGAATTTAAAACTATAAAAAGTAAATAATTGATTTTTTCTTTAATAAATTTGATATCCAACTTAATCAAATCCAAGTGGCTTGAATAAAAATAATTATTGGATTTTGGTGAGCAGGTGTAAGAGGGGTGACAATAGAAGGACAGTTCACAAAGGTCACAACCATTGGAGTTTACTTGGAAGACAAGGCATTCTCATCTGTGGCCTCCAAATGGAAGGGCAAGACTCCTGATGAGTTAGTTAATTCCATTGATTTTTTCATGGATATTATTAAAGGTATCTTCATCATAGAACCGTTGATTTGAGTTAGCTTGAAGAAGCTCACAAAATTTAGAATTGAACTTAATAAAATTATATATTTTTAATGTTTGGGTCAAGCCACATCAGGTTTGAACTTGGCTTGAATATCTTAATAGCATTTTTATTTTTTTAATAAAATATATTAAATATTAATTAATTTTTTAAATTTTAGTGCACTTTATGTTAAGAGACATATATTTGAGTACATTATTATATATATTTTATTTTTAAAAAATAAAATATTAATATTTTTTTATTTTTATTATTTTTAATCTATGAAATATCCTTTAAATAATATTTAAAATATATTTTAATATCATCAAAGGTGCGTTTCATTGATTAATTTTTAAATTAAAAATTCCTTAAAATTTAAAAAGATTTGCAATTTTTAATAAAGGTATATTGAATAAAGGTATAATTGAAAATGTTTACAATTTTTTGAGAAATTAAAGTCTTACCAAACTTTTTTTTACCTTAAAATTATTACCAAATACCTTATATTGTGGTCAAGAAGGATTATATAATTGTTTTAGTCAAAGAAGAAGGAAAATAAGGAGTATCAAATTCAGCATGAAGGTGGGAAAAAAAAAACAAAGAGTAATTTGGAATTAAAATGGAAAATATGAATTAATGGCAGGGCCATACGAGAAATTGATAAGAGGGTCAAAGATAGTAGCATTGGAAGGAGCAGAGTATGGCGGGAAGGTCTCACAAAATTGTGCGAATCATATGAAAGCCGCCGGCACTTACGGCGAAGCAGAGGCTAAAGCCATTGATAAGTTTGTACAAATCTTTCAGCCTTACAACTTCTCACCTGGCTCCTCTGTTTTCTACTTGCAATCCCCTGACGGAACTCTAACGGTATGTTTGCTGCACTCAAAAGAACTATAAATAAATGACAATTGCATCACTCATTATGACACTAGAATGGAAATGGAGGGAGTCTATGATATTGAATTATTGATGTTATATATTATAGTGTTAAAAGAGTAAAATATTCTCTAACTTTTTCTCCAACATTGCTTGACATCCTAAACTTTTTTATAAAGTATTTTTATCTTAAAAATTTTAAAAACAGAGCATTTCATCCAATCGTTAAAAATATCTAATGTTGACTATTAAATTAAAGTTTGACCAATGATATTTTTATATTTTTCCCTCCTTCCTTTTATATTTAGTCTTCAATTTTGTTCTCTAATGAATTTTTTAACTTTCCTTTTTCTAAAGAATGAAAACAAAAACGCATAAATAAAAGAGGAAAAAATTATAAAATACCCTGATCAAATTTTAGTTAATGATTAATGTTAGAGATTTTGACGGTAGGGCAAAACTACTTCAAAAAAAGTTTAGAATGTCAAGTGCTTTTGGAGAACAAGTTTTAGGGTATTTTTACCATTTAACTTTATATTATGCTCTTTCTTTCCTAAATTATAACATATTTTTTAGAGGAGATTCGATATCTCAAAATATAAGACATTTTAAAAAAAAAATTTTTATTAATTATTTTTTTTAATATTACCTTTCTATTATATTCTCTCACTTTAATATTTTTTTATAAATGAGATATTATATGAAGGGCACTTTTTAAAGCTTATATTTTTGTTTTGATAAAACAAAATTGTTAAGTGTCTTTGATGAATTTTATTAATATGTGTAATTTTATTTAAAAATATTTTATAATTTAAAACTAATAGAATATTGATATATTGATAATGGTTGAGTTTTGGCTTGTTCGGTAGAGAAACATTTTATACCAAAACAAAAGTCATTGTGGTTTCATAATTAAAAATGAATATATATAAATTTTTTAAATTAGAGTTGGTAAGACGTCCTTATTGAAGACTTTAAAAAAGTCAAACTTCACTGAAAAAAACACGACTTAAAAAGGTAAGATGATATTGATACCGAAATTATTAATCTGCATGTGCTCATAATTTTCTTTAATTTTAAATTAAGTGTTCATAATTTAGTCTATTTTAGTCAAATTTTTATAGTTTGATATCTTAGATATGTTAATTTCTGAAAGTTAAAATTACTAACAGATATTTTAATTTAAATTTGAATGAAATCCTTTATTTGGATACAAACAAAATTATAAATTCAAATCCAATACATTTTTTATTATAATTCCTTTATAATTTTAATTTTTTACACTCCAATCATTTAAAATTTTAATCACTTTAATATCTTATTATTTTCATATTTTTACTATTACTACTTCTATGATTTTCGTACCTTTTTTCAATTCTCATTCCCATCTCTCATGAATTAAAAAAATAAATGTAAACTTTTATTTCCATTTTTTTTATTTTGTATGTCATCTCTCTTCTTCATTTGATTTTTGTTTTTAAACTACTTAAATAAAAAATTTTAAATATATGAATTTTACCATGAGAATTGAAATGCAAGATCTCAAATCTCAAATCTAAATCCAAATCTAAATTCAAATCTAGCCATCCAAATATTATCTTAAAGTTTACATAAAATCTGATTCAATACTTTTGGCTAAAAAAAAGTAAAAGAAAATCTGATTTAATATAATTTTTATATTTTTATTAATTTTTATGAAACTTTTACATGTATAAAAATTATTTAGAAGACAAAATCTAATTATATAAAGTTTAAGTTATAAAAATTATGTAATTAATTCTAGAGTTATATAATATTTTAATAAAAATATAAAAATTCTTAATTTTATGTTTTTTTAAAGAAAAAAGAAAGGATTTAAACCTTTAGAAATCAATATAGTCAATTGATCATACTATAATCTTGATTATAAAAAAATAAATTATTAAGACCTAATTCAAAATTAAGGAAAACTATAAGTATTTGTATGTTGATTTTCATATATATTCAAAATAACAAATTCTAATGTAAATGACCTTTCCACTTGTTTATTTATTTATTGATTTTTTAGATTAGTTTCTCGGACGATACTACGCTGCCAGAAAATCCAGCGGGAGCGATAGAAAACAAAGCACTTTCAGAGACATTGTTGGAGACGATGATCGGTGAACATGCTGTTTCTCCTGCTTTGAAACAAAGCTTGGCTTCCAGATTATCTTCATTGTTCAAAGACATCGACGTCAACAATAAATATTGAGAATTTAATTTGGAACTCAGTTTAATTTTCCGAATTTCACAGATAAGCAGTTGTGTGTTGTGCTGTGTTGTTTTAATGTTTGTATTGTTGTGCTAATATATTCTCATAATAATTATTTGTGTATTGTGGATTTTTACCCTTAAATTTTTGGGAGAATTTTAATTAGGATAAATGAGCAAATTATACTATAAACATTAGACCCAGTAGCACCATAAACTTTGAATTTTTGAGTATGCAAATTACTTCTTCAGCTTTTGAAAATGATACAATTTAACCTCTACAATTAATAAATGATAAGTTTGACTTTACAAATTATGGAAAATGAAAATTTTTTTAGTCCTTTTAAGTTATTTTTTAGTCAGTTAATGATTAAACTTAATTTTTATTAATGTTAAGAACCTAATTACACTATTTTTAAAAGTTGAGCAAACAATTTACATAATATATGAGTTTAGGGTCTATGGTGTTGCTGGACCTAATTATTTGTTACAATTTTATTCACTATAAAATTAAGAGTTAATGAAGGGTAAATAATAACAAAATAATCAATGTTCCACTTAAATGAAATGATAATTAATATTTTTTCTAGTCTATTTGTGAAAGCATAGATTTTGGTCCTAAGAGTTATGATTAACTTTGATTATGGTTCTTATGTTAGTTTTTATAATTTTGATCAATTATAATCAACATCGTTAAAGATGATGTATTGTTGATGTGGTAATCAAATAATTAGTGGCAGTAAAGAATCAAACTTGACCACAAGCTTTTTGATTATTTTTTAATTTTTAATAACAAAAAATCATGGGGATCTTGATCCATCTAAAACAATAGCTTTAGAAACCAAAACCTACTTGATTTTCATCAGACTTATTTGATTTCTTTTTGCAAAATCAGTTTTCTATTTTTAAAAATAAAAAACCTATTTGCGTTAGTATTTTGAATTCAAATGTTTCTAAAATTATTCTCATTTTTTTTATTTTTAAAGCATAATATATTTAACTATTGGAAACTATCGATGGTTAAGACCAACCATTATTATAATTTGTAGGCCGTCATTACATTTTTTTTTTGAACGAATTTGTAGGTCATCATTATTAATCATTGACAAACATAACTACCGATCAATTTTTAAATTGTTTCTAAATTAACATAATTAAAAAAATTTGCTTTGTTTAGAAAAATAATTTTAAAAAATAATTTTGAAAAATAAGAAATGGGAATAGAGCTAAACTAGCAGTGTATTTTCCCATCCTGTTTTCTTGTTCTTGTTGGCTAATGATGTTAGGCTTTTGTTTTAAATATTATAGGACAATACTAGTTTTTGTCTTAACTCTTGTTTGTTTGGTTTTTATTCTCATTTTTTTTTATTTTTAAAATTATTTTTAAAACAAAATAAAAAAATATGTTTGATTATATTAATTTAATTTTTTTTAAAATTACAAATAGGTTCATATTGACAGTCACCGGCAATTAATGGTAATGACTTATAATAAGTATATTTAATATATTTGTAGGTGAAAATGAAATTTGACATATTTTAAAAATAGAAAATAAATGAAAATAGTTTTAAAATGTTTCTATTTTTTAATTTTTAAAAATAAAAAATGAAAATAATTTTGAAAATAATTAGATTCAAAATACACTTTCAAACAAGTTTTTAATTTTTTTTGTTTTTAAAAATAATTTTTATTTTTTAAAAAAGAAATCAAACATATTCTTAAAACCTGTTTGGGTAACCCTCAAAAACATATTCAAACAGAATTTAAAATGTACTTTTATTAAATCTAATAGATAGTTAAATCTCTTAAATGTGATTTTATCAAATATAAATTGAAAAACCAAACACACTTATTTTTTGAGTTTGTTACATGAAATAAACTTGAAGAGCAAGCCCAATATTTGGATGCATGGGCATGGCCTCTGGGCTCTGGCGAATAGCGTTGAAATGATAAAAGCCTTGCCAGTGTGCCGCCCAGTAAGCCCCATAGTGCTTTTCATTAACATCATACATAAATAATATAATTTTCCTGGTTACGAGCCCGTGAAAATTCTTGGACAACTTTAGCAACTTGGCCAATGACATAGTAAAGTTAAAAATGCTTTAACATTTTAGTATTCAAGCCTACATGAATAAGTTTAAAAGCTCGAAGTGTTATGATCGAATTTAACTATATGTATATTTTTTTGAAAAAATATTATTTTGGGTTCTTGCATTTTACTTTTGATTCCTACACTTTTTTTTCTAGTGTTTTAGGTTTTTATACTTTTATTTTTTATTATTTTAGGTCCTTCCAAAGTTCCTACACTTTGTTTATGAAAGAATTTAAAATAATAAAAAATAAAAATATAGGGATCTAGAATATTGAAAAAAGCGTAGAGATTAATAACAAAACGCAAACAAAGTATAGGAATTAAAAGTTATTTTTTCTTATATTTTTTATATGTTTGGCTAGTTTAAGTGTTTGCTCAAATTATCATCTCTAAATTTGACTCAATTGAGTGCTTGCATGTGTATTGCATCATGTTGAGCCTATGATTTTTATATTTTTTGCACTTATGTAATTGTTTTTAAATTTTTTCTTTGAATTGGTTCAATACCACTTTTGTCTGGTCTTTGAATATGTAAAATCTCCTAATACTTGTCACATTTGAAATCATAAACTAAAAAAATTAAGGGTCTAACTTCAATAAGGATTACCAAGTTTAAATTCTGTAGAAATGAAGACCCAAGTTTTCATGGTTTTGAACTAAAACAAAATCATTTATTAAACGTTTAATCATGATAAAATAATGTTTCAAAAGCATGGGATGTCTTATAGAAGTAAAAACAATTCAAAATTAGTTAAAAAATAACAAAGACTAAAAAATAGAGGAGTATGCCATGCCTTGTGCACATGTGTCACGGCATGTTGTACGTTTATAATAGCAAATCCAAGTAATTTTTGACTTGTCTCATTTCTCATCAACCCCCTTTAATAGTAAAATAGAAAGGAGGGTCTTTGCATTGCATTCAACCACAAAAAGTCAAAGTTATGATATAACTAACATTTCTACAATTGTACTAATATTTTGACCCTAACAATATTCACAAATTCATAAACAACATTCCAAGGCCTAAAATACACTCCAAAGATCATAAATAACAAAATCGTACAAGTGTATGCAAAATAAAACTTAATTGGAAATATATCAAATATTACACAAAAATAATTGGAGTTAAGAGTTTATACAATAAGAATCCCATATTCCTAAATCTCTGAAGCTTCTTCCCTTTCCATATCGAAACTAGAGCTTGTAAAGTACTTAAAAAGACAAGTAAGTCTAGCCACTTAATAATCAAGGTTCCTTTATCCTATGCAATTGTATATTAATTGATATTTTTAAAACAAAACATATATGAGGCACACAACCACATATCTTACAATTTTCACAAATATCCCATGACATTTCATACAAATCATCATAATCTTATCTTTTCACAAATCAAATCAAAAGGAACATTGTCATAATACTAACAACCATGTAACAATGGCACAATTAAATATACAATATACATTGCCACAATAATAGCAGCCATTTAACAATGGCTAACTCAAATATCACGACTTGCCACAAACTTAATAACTATGTGACACGTTAGATAATATGCATAATCGAACCAACCTTATATCCTCTCTATAACTTTCAACTAAAATCATGGGCTATCAATTAAATAGGGTTCCGTCCATATAAATGGACTATTTAAGCTCACAAATTGTGAGGAGCAATCTGGCCAAGGTCATTACCCTCACTCTTAGACCATAGCTTTCCCTATTCCCGAATCCCTAAAGTGTCATAAACCCTAAGCTAGTTTCTTTGACAAACAGGTAGAGATAGCAAGGTTCGAGTCTCTCGACAAATAATGGGATATGGCAACTTCCTGATTCTAAAGGTAGGTAGCTAGGCTAGCTTTTGATTCTAATGATACGCAGCCATATATCACATGAATTTTATCACCACTCCTCTCCCTAGGCAAAGTGTTGCTAACACGATAATGTATTCATTCATGCTCACATATAACATGTTATCAACCCACAATAGCAAGCTCATTTTTATATATTGAACAAGCTTTAACATGTAAGCATCATGAATAATTCCATATCACTATCACAATTATCAACATATATATCCACATATCATCATTGCATCACAAACATATACCATCACTATTCCATGTGTCATAAGTTCATTTTTCATGTTATCATTATATATTCACATCATATTGCTCAAAATATCACATTATCACTTTTCTCAAATATGTAACAAATTTTTCCAATAGCACATAACTATTCATTATCATTTCATAATTAAAAACTTATCATAAGCTCATTTATGTTTTTCCAAAACATGTTACAAATTAGCCAATAAGAAATTTCATCTATTCTTACTAATCGCATATAATTTAGCAATGTAAATCAATTAACATACAATTACACAAAATAGATTCTCCCGATTACTTCAAACTTTTAAGTGGTCAAAGGTTTACCTTTCAATAAATGCTTCCAAAGCTTGACCTCAAGCTCAATTCATTGCCAAAAATGATTAATTTACAATTAACTAAGTCCACAATCATCAATATCACTATTTACAATTTCTAAGCTTCCTATTCCAACACTTTAACTACTACATGATATCAACCTTTTGAGTTTACTCCCGACCAATGGGTATATTAGCTCCTATAAGCTATAATTAACTTATATAAACTTGAGTAATATTGATTTCAAAATCCAACAACCCAAAATCACTATTTATAAAAATTTTAACTTCTTATTTCAACATAAAAATTTCTAAAGCTCTCATTTTTAGCATTTAGACTCAACCATTAGGTTCATCCCCTCCCCTTAGCTCACATTAATCTAATTAATCCTCAATGCTTTATCCAATAATCTAAAATCATGCTCATAGAGACTAGGGTTCGTCCATTAATGAGAGTTCAAGTTTAAAGACAATCAAAATCATCAAACCTATGTGTAGATACCTATAACAACTCTCATTAGCCTCATTTAGACCAATGGATTCAAACCTATCACTATATAGGTCTAAAAATTAGTTCCTATGATCAAGCTCTAACCATAAATCTATCT